AGTCCCAGCAGTTGTAGCCAATGGTCAGGAATGACAGGAGTTGTTATTCAGCAACATCTGGTGGTCACAGGTTTTCCGCCCTTAAGTTGGGGTCACCATCTTCCCATTCAAGAAGCGGTTACTTCTGCCATTGTCCCTCACTCCCAGGTTGGAATTCACACTGGAACTCCTTTCATTTGTGAGACAACTACTGAATTCCCCCCCCCCCAGTTTGTAATTGCCACTCTTGCTGCGCCCTGCTGAGGGCTGTATTCACACCATACATTTAAAGCACAATGAAATCATAATTTTTCTCCCTCAAAGAGTCCTGGGAACTATAGTTTACCCCTTAAAGAAGTACAATTCCCAGCACCCTTAACAAACTACACTTCCCAGGATCAATGGGGTGGTTTGTATTGGTTGTTATTTGTTTTTGTTTTGTAAAGTTCTTGAAGGGTGTGTTGTTGTTTTGTTTTCAATTAGCAGTATTATTATTTTGCTCCCGTTTTGCCTAATTTATTACAGATCATGTGTTCTTTGACAGAGAATTCACTGAATGTTAAGGATGCTTTCACGTGCCCTTTTTGGAAATGAATGAGTTGAAGGAGGATCTCGCTGAGGAGTTGGGCCATTTAGCAAAGAAGACTGAAGAGAGGGCAGCTTTGAGCAAAGACTGCACGCAAGCTAGGATGACCATCAGGAGAACAACTTCCATCTACCCTAAGCTGTGTTACTCTGGCCACCTCCCCCTAAGCAAGTTGAGAGCAGACTGGAAAGACGAGACATTCTCCTTACTTTGCAAGAACTCTCCAATATTTATGGCTGTTTAAAACTCATATATTGGATTCCTGTTAGGGTCTCAAAAATGATTCAGTTTCCCCTTCCATAGCCAGCCACAGGCAGACCCAACGATTACCTACTGCTGCTCATGGAATCATAGAATTGCAGAGTTGGAAGGAGCCCTGAGGATAATCTAGTCCAACTCCCTGCCAATGTTGAAATATGCAGCTGTCCTGTATTGAGGATCAAACCTGCAACCTTGGCGTTATCTGCAACACACTCTAACCAACTGAGTTATCCTGGTTCATGTTTCCTTACCACCCACAGAGCGGATCACACCCACCCAGCAGCCACCTCCCGGTTTACGTTCCCTCTCATCCTCCACAAAGAAAAAGGGCACAGCGGAAATGCCTTCCTCCGTATTTCAAAACTGCTGCTCTCACCATTCTGCCACTTCAGGGAGGTCATGTTGACGGTATAGACGGTCACGCCAGGCCTGTCTTCCTTCTTTGTGACAGTGTAGTTGTAGTGAGGGTCATACTCCTTGACGTAGTCATCCAGGGCTGTCTGCATCCATCCAGAGGGCAGGCAGGCTGCCAGGAGGAGAAGAGAGAAAGCAGCATACATGGTCAAGCAAGTATAGTTGCCTTGAAAAAGAGGTACCTGACTTTGTTCAGCAGCACTTCTCCCACTTCAGATCACAGTTGCTCCCAGCAGGGAAGTTCCACAAGGCTTGGTGGTGTATGCCAAAGCTTTCATCTAGAGCTGTTTCTTTCCATGAATGTCACAACAACTTTCTCCAGTATTTATATAAGTCTTGTAGCAGGGAGGGCCCTGAATCACATGGCCAAGACAGCATTTATGCAGATTGATCTAATGAGCGCAGGAAGTAATTCTGCCAGTTATTCTTTATTGACTTCCAGTCAAAAAGCACCCTCCCACTTATCCATTCAGGCCTGTAGCCAAACTGAGGCCTGTATCTGCTCTGTTTCACTTGCAACATTGGTTCACCCTCCCCCCTATGCACTTTTTGAAAAGAGCATTTCAAAATGGCAGAATGACATCTCCCAGTTAACAACTCACAGCTTCCTTCGAGAATGGAGGGGGAAATGTTTTGAGGAACTAATTAGCAGCAAATGCTCCTCTTCATCTGAAGTGGTGGTAGTCCAGTCTCCCTTTAATTACTTGTTTTCTCAGCATGTTTTAAGACCCTTACCATAATTTTTTAAAATATCCATGAATTATTATGACCATGAGAAGAGTCCTGGTGGATCAGACCAAAGATCTATCAAGTGCAGTGGCCTATTTTTCACAGTAGCCAACCAGAGTGGAAGCCCACACAAGCAGGACATGAACTGTTGTTTGCCTGCATCATGACTAGTAGCCAATGATAGCCATTTGTGTAATACCTTTTAAAGCCATCACCACACTAGTCATAATGTATACATGCCTCTCATGCCCCCTTTATTCTACTATAAACTAAGAGGCCCCAAATGTCAGAAGGGCTCCAGTGCCTTGATCATTTTGCTTGCTCTTTTCTGTATTCCCAAATGCCCTTTCAATGATATATTTAAGGCAATTCCCGTGCTATGCATGTCCACCCATATGCACATAGGTCTAATTTTTGGCCTTCTCTCCTCCCACTTCTTCGTGAGGAGGAATAACTATACAAAATAGGATGTCCCTAGTTTCTGATGAAAATAGGGGCATCCTATTCCATGGCAGCAACAACAACAACAACAGTTGTTGTTATACCCTGCCCATTTGGCTGGGTTGCCCCAGCCACTCTAGGATAGCCCCTGCACAATTGGTTGGTCCTCTGCCACGTCATCCCAAGGCTGTCCAATCCGGACGGTCCAGGGGCGTGGCGCGGGCTATTTAAACTGCCCGCGGCCGAGGACATGTTCCTTTTCTCCCTGCTCGGTCAGTTCCAATGCCTAAGCCAATACCACTCACATTCTGTAACCAATAAAGTTGCGGCCCTTTTTGCCCATTAACCTAAAATACTGTTTCGTGTGTCTTTATTCCACTTCCTGGAGGGTTTGGGACCTTGCCACGCAACTTACCGTATTTCCTTGGCTCAGGGGTTGCATAACTCCATACCCTCCATATATTGCGATTATCTTCCTGATTCTCTTTCTTGTTGCATATTTATTAGTCCCAACAGGAAGAGCTCTGGTTTCAGTTGAATATTAACCTTCAAAATCTTCTGTATCAATGTATGTATTTTTATCCATTTTTTTTAGCTTTTTCTACAGATCCACCTTCATGTTCTTGACATTTCCAACATACTGTACACTTGGAACATTTTTATACATTCTAAATAACTTCTCAGGAGTTAGATAACAACAGTATGTCATTTTGTAAAAAAAAAATCTCTTTTAAATCATAACACAATATGTATTTTAACCCTTTAGTCCACATATGCTCCCACTGTTCGATCTGTATATTATAACCCATTTTTTGTCAATTTAGTAATGCATTCTTTACCTCGTTCCTCTTCCATTTCAAATTTCTGATTTGTTTGCAGGGAGATTAAATGACATTGCATTAATCAAATGATATCCTACAATTCCCCGTGCAATCCCAATCACTTACCTTATCACAAAGGGTGGAATTTTAATAAAAACTCTAAGCAGTCACACAGCAACACCAAATCAGCTGTAATTGTACAACCTGAATTTGCTGGTATGTGATTGAATCTCAAGCCAAAAACATCAACAGTCTGGAAGCACTCTAAGTGCACAAGAGCTAGAACAGGGTCTCATGCGTACACCCAAATTTAAGACTGAGGTCACTACCTCATTGCGTATTTAAGTCCAGGTAGGTA